GCATCAACTGCTCTGCAAACACCCAAGATCACTACAAGCGCTCCGCTCCCACGTTGGAAGCCAGGAAATCCGTCTTGCTCCTGGCGGCCAGATTGAAGGTCGCATTTGAGGAGTGTGGCATCGACATGGTCGATATCAACCAAGGATTTCAGGCATGGCTTACTTTCACGGCATCTTCTTTGATTTCAAACACTTTATTGCCGTATGGGGAGCACTTGATGAAGTCTGTTTCGCACATGGGGGGAGTCAGGGTATCGAAGAGACAGGCTCTGGAGATCTTCCGGAATGGACGCGGCAAACAGTTCAGCATCTACCGCGAAAGAATCTATGATGAGGTCGCGAAGAAGTGGCTCCTGGCTTTCAGGGTCACGAAAGATTGCGGGAATGTCGCGTACAAGGACTTCTTCGAGCAGGTCGCTGTTCCTGAGGTGAAGGACAGGAACGAAATCTTCGGATTCTCCCGTGCATCAGCCGAGAAGACTGGGGACATCATCGAGTTTTGGCTTGGTGTCTTGGATGTGGCAAACATGGCAAAAGGGGTTGTGAATGTCTTCAATGCCAGCGTTGACCCTGCTGAATTCCTCAACGGCTTGGAGAAGGCATTGGCCCAATTCACATCAACTTCCAGAACTACAAGCACCATCAACGACAAGAGACGAGGCTCTTTCGACTGCACCCTGCAGACTGCAGAAGCCGAAAAGGTCATGAAGATCATCCACGCAATTCCCGGGTATGAAACGTTGAATAACTTCAAATGTCTCACAGAGTGGGAGAAAGATCAGGTCATCTCTCAGTTTCGAAGAAAGCACCATGTCACAGGGGACGACGCCAACATGGGCGCTGATGCTGATGCCCAGCCAGGTGACGAGTCGCCGACTCACCCTGGGGAGGAGGAAGCTGATGAGCCAGCAAACGACCCTACTGATGTGGTTGGGGACTCAGAGATTTCCGGAAAACAACAACTCCTGGATGCGTTGGGAAAACTCTTCACTGTCTCTGAGGATGTCAATGTGTGTTTGTACTGTGGTAGCGCCAAACATGGTCATCTCGAATGTGAAAATGAGAAGAAGGATGAAGTCAGAAAGGTGCTAAAGGCCGTCCGGGCGTCGCTCGAGGCTGATAGTCCCACATCTGATGACGTCGAGATGGAACCACCTGAGCACAGAAAGGACGGATCAGGTTCTACGGAAGGGTCAGGGCAAACGGATGAGCCCACAAAACCAAGGACTGGTGAATACCATTGGTACGACAACATCAGGACTATGTCCGAAGTCGGAGACCTGGATGAATCTGGTAGGTTTTGTATTGAAGGGCGTGATGTTACCAAGCTGGGACCCCAAAATATCGTTGATCTCAATGAAGTGGTCCGGGACGCTATTGTCAGAGGAGGAGGTGACACTTGGTCAGTACCAGAGTTCCTCGCAAACTACTCCGACAACAACATCAGAAAACCCTTCTACAAACGGATCGAAGCGCCGCGAGATGGTTTCTTGAAAATCATCCCCACGACGGGAGCCCACTTCTTCAACTGCTTCTACTTTGGCGGTGTGGAGTATGCGGCAAACTATCGCTTCGAAACCGGTAATCGGCTCGACAGCTATGAGGACAAGGTGAGCATCTCACTGAACAGGATCCTACGACACAATGTGGGGAAAGCCTCAGAATCACAAAGCTTGTTTTGTGACGATGCTGGCTGGGTACCCATTGAGGACGTACTCAAGTGTGAGCCAATCTGGAGACATGAACACCAACGTTGGCCGCATGTCTTCCTCGCCCCCAAAGGGAGAGCAAACGATCGAAATGCATGGAACGTGGAAGAGGCGAGCAACCGCATGGCGTTGCTGTTCAAGATCATGTTCCACTGTGCCCGATATGGACGTCGTGTACGTGAACAAATCTTGGCGTTCGGGATCAACAAGGACATTGATCGCAGCAGCCTGACATGCATTGACAACAACGTCAACGCGGACACGCCTATTCCCGACGAGGGGCTATTGCTCTATCCAGTTGCAGTTCGCGCTCCAACAGGGCACAAGGAGGGATCCTCCAGAGACGACGTCTTGTTGATGTCCTCCTTGCTCTCGCATCCGACTGCGCCCAATACCATCATGTCAATGCCGGGTTGCTTCCACATCACGAAGCAGACCAACCTTCGAAGCATTTGGAGGGAAGGACTGATTCCTGGAGGTCTTGGGGAAGGTCATCGTATGTTCACGTTCTTCAATCCATACGTGCCGTGGGATCATCGCTCATGGACTATCACGAAGAGTGTTGACACACGAAAAGGGGACTACATCTGCCTCTACATCCCGACTGAGACCCTGATGGTGGAGTATGGTGGTCGATTGACGGATTCGGGACAGATCGTTACGCCAAAGATCATCCCGTTCTCAGCGATCAGAGGAGGATGGATTCAAGATCCAAAGGATCAAAACAACAAGACATGGCACCGGTTGTTCGTTCCGTCGGGCGACGACCAGGTAGTCCGGTCAGGCACTATCAAGTCAAGAACTGTCGCCACCAAGGAGTCCATTCTGAGGATCGCAAGTCAATGCATCGACGCCGAAAAGCAACCGTATGACGAGATCACCATGGATGCAATGAATATCGTCCACCAGTTCAGGAACAATCTAATTGAAGGGGGTGGACAAGAACAATACCTCGCCCGCATCAAGCTGGTCGACTACATCGTCGAGCGCAAGAGGGTGGAAACTTCAGGTTGCCGTCATTGCCCTCATTGCCTCAATGAGACGCCAACGAAATTGGCAGTATGTCTAGGATGCTGGACAGAGCTTGAGAGCTGTGGAATTCGACCTTATAGATTACAAGCCCCTGAAGACGATGAAGACGAAGCCACCAAGAAAGAGATCGACGAGGAGGTTCGCCGACAGGAAGAATCGTTGTTCGAGGATACGGTCCACCAAGCACAGGAAAACGTACCTGAACCCAACGATTATGGCTTCAATCCTGACGAAGTCGACTACAACGAAGGCGATGACGAGGAAATGGCTCAGGAGGAAGAGACTCAGCAGGAAGACGACGAGATCGTTGAGGAGGACGACGATGATGACATGAACGTCGAACCTGAGAAAGAGGCTTCAGACAACCTGCCAGTATGGACCAAGAATCTTGTGCCTGGAAGCAAGGGTTTGCCAGGAGATGGACTAGTAAACAATGATGTCTCCGAGGCCGCGGCTCACTTGTACGACAATGCCGTGATGTCAAAGATCATCGCAATGTTCAGACTCTACTACAACCAGAGAGTCAATTTGACCCCAGAGGAATACTATGCGTTGATGACAATCACCAAGCGAGTCCGACTGGACCTGGACGACTTCTGCCCCTACACGGGCGAAGATCAGGACGGCAAACTCAAGCGGCCGACTGAGCAGGAATTGGACGCACTCTTTCAGGAGAAAGGGAAGACGAACTCATGGTCAGAGGGAGAATTGATGTACTCTGGGCGGCCGAGAAACATGATGATGCCTGTCATCAAAACTCTAGAAGTTTACGAAAAGATGATGGAGTTTCTCATCTGTGCCGGGTACACTCCCGATTCCTTAGGTTTCCTCATGCCAATGACGAAGATGCAGGGAGATGCAAAGGAGAAGCAGGAGATGAGGGTGACCATTAGCAACTTCCTCCGACGATTGATGAAGGGAACCTTTCCCGAATATGAGTCATACACCTTCTTTCGTTCCGGGAGCCACGGCTTCCCCAACTGCATTGAACTCCCAGCTTTCTCGGTATATCTGAGTCTGAGAGAAAGGGAACAAAGGGTGGAACTACTCTTCGCTGCCCAACAATGCGGTATTCCATTACCTCGCAACTTCATCGGCAAGATGGCTTACGCCATTCAATTCGCTGAGTCCGAGGCGATGAGGGGAAAGTCCGAGATGAAAATAAAGATGGCTCCGAACCTGGGGGACGAAGTGGTAGGTGAAGTATTCAAAGCAGTCGGGGACAGTGCCAGCACGAAGCGTGCTGCTGCGGACGCGAAAGCCAGATCATCAACACAGCCATCACAGAAACCTGAGGATACTGGTTCAGCGTCATCATCGGCCAGTGCACCAAAGGCTAAGGCCATGCCGAAGTCTTATGGACCACCTAAAGCACCACCTGCGAAACCAGCATCGCCGAAAGCTGCTCCGAAACGTGCGGCAGGTTGGGAGAAATCTCAAACGACACCTCAGTGGAAGAAAGTCCGCCGTGAGGAGTAAATCAACCACCTCTGTCCATCCAAGTGATCACTGGACTATAAGATGTCTATCGTCTTTGTGAACAGATGATCAGGAAAAGACCAATTGAGAGGATTCTGAGCGAGGCAGTAGACTAATTCGCTTAGGTTCCATGTTCTCACTATTCCCAATCTGCACGATTTTCTTTTTAGCAATGTGCACGTGAATTCACTAGTTAGCGTCAATTGCTATTCTTGGTGGGGCAGTCAACTTCCGTCGTCGATGGAGTGACTTGCGAAGCCGTAATCGTAGAGTAGCTGCAAGCTAGTGATAATTTGCGTTGTACAGCTCGAACTTGCGCTGACGCATTGCATGCCATAGAGTAGGCAACCCCGGATCCACTACGCTCGTCGGGTGTGGGTGAAGGGGGAGCTGAATGGATTTGCGTGTACAAAGGCGTAATTCGTGCACCACAAACAATATAATTCAAAGTTCCCACTCTCGTGCCTGCGGTGCGAAGCCACCGTAGGCATGGGGGGTGCTAAAGGGAACTAAACGGTACTGCACACATGTATAAGCATGTGGAGTAGGCCTGACATGACGCCAAATATCTGGCTCAAGTCGCAAGGGAAAACGGTGTTTGCGCCGCTCAGCAATGCTGCCTGGACTCCGGCTACTAGGACGTTAGGGATTCCAACAACTACAACCAGATATCCGGGAACAAGGATTAAAATTGTTCACAACATGGACATTGATTCATTGAAATGGATTGGATTTGATGGACCTTCACCACACATGGCCTCCTGGCCACCCTGACCTCGCAGGGCAGACGGATTCTGAGCTGTCGGCATCAGGCTTGGCGCAAATCATCTGAGATCCATGAGAAGTTCTATGAGTTTCCCAATGAGTTGGGTGAAAATCACCATTAAAAATGGATGATTGTCCCATTAAATGAACATGGGATCTAAATGGATGTTTCCCATTAAATGGATGTTTTTCTAATGATGGATGATTGTCCCATGAAAGAAACATCCATTTCTATGGTGAAATCCAGGTCGTGGTGACATGGTACTGTGGGTCCAGCCTGATGACGTGCCTGAAATGGGCTGCTTAGTGCAGAAATGGGGTGGGATGAAGGCGGAGGTGGAGGTATGGTCCAGAACACATTTTTTTTTGGTCCAAATTCTACCACCCAAATTGTTGAAACATGGGGACTTTTTCAGAAGTTTGAGCAACTAAAAGTAATCCAAAAGTTGGGTTTACCATGGTAGACACCATCCTTTTTTCTGTTGATCTCTTCAACTTCCATAGCAGCCATAGCAGCCCCTGGGGTTTTTTATGCTTAGGAAGGCTGGTCGAGTTCACCAATGCGCTGATTACCCTCATGATGGAGCTTCCCCAGGCCTGGAACCAATCCACTGGACGGTTTTCGATGTGCCAATTGGTTGGGCGAATGAATTGTAGGTAATTCATGGATCTTAATGGTAATTATTAGTAATTATCTAATTCAGTGGGCAATTGGTGAGGTCGAATGAGTAGTGACGCTGACATGATGACATGGGCCGTGGATCACCAGTCGGGAGGAGAGCATCCAAGCCAGAACGCAGCAGATCACTGCCCTGTCGGATGCGCAGCTCACCAGCTTCCCTGGAAGCACGGAGAACGAGTCTCGGCAGGATGGGGCTTGAACTTCGTTGACTTACCCTCTGGTAAACATACAAAAAACTATGGAAAATCACCATTTTTAATGGGAAAATCCACTATAAATGGTCATTTTCAATAGCTATGTTAAATTACCAGAGGGTACTGGGGGTCTGGTGACTGGTGCCATCGAGGATGATGCTCGATACATCCGCCACGTGGACAATGAGGATGGTCGAAATGGACGCAACTTGGCCATGGGGTCTGATAGGCGAGCTGGAACAGCTGCGGATTCAGAGGCCATGGGCAAGACATGGAGTCAACCAAGCCACATTTTTGGAAGGAAACATGCTATTTAGATAATTTCAGATATTCTGATTGTTCAAGAATTTGAAAGCTATGACTCTTGTTGTTAGAATACAAAGGTTCCCCATACATCTTCCCTCAGTCTCAGGGATTTCGGCAGGGGTTGGTAGTGTGCTGCAACAGGGGGATTTCAAACACCAAAATGGAGGGTTGGTGGAGACGATACCTGCGTTGAGGAAAACCAGATCAATCATCAAAGTTGGAAAAAGTCATAGCGGATGGTATTGGATGGTACTGGAGATGGTTTACCATACACATAATATATGTACAGGTCTATATATGTAACAATCATTATTCTGAATATTTATAAACCATGACATACTCCACATATTTGGGTGATGTTTGCTCGACGACGTTTCACCAGCGTTCCAGTGCTTGAGGCCTCATCACCTGCACCTTCTATCTGAATGAGGACTGGGATGCAGAGAAGGATGGCGGTGAGATCCGCCTGTGGCTCGCCCCGAAACTGGCTGTGATGGCTTTGTTCCCCTCCAAAAAATGCAGGATTTATCTGGTTTGATCGCATTGCGGGCGCCCACGAGGAACACTAATTGAAATCCGCCACTCGCCCCACTCGCCCCACTCGCCCTACTTGCCCTGGGCTAGCAAATTAATTGAAATCCGCCACTCGCCCCACTCGCCCCACTTGCCTTGGTAGGAAAATTAATTGACTGGCCCCTCGCCCCACTCGCCCTACTCGGCCCCACTCGCCCTACTCGCCCCACTCGCCCGACTCGCCCCACTCGCCCGACTCGCCCCACTCCCCCCACTCGACGCACTTGCTGCGGAGGTAAGCAGAGCAAGTGCAAGCGGGGCAAGCGGGGCAAGCGGGGCAAGCGGGGCAAGCGGGGCAAGGGGGGCAAGCGGGGCAAGCGGGGCAAGCGGGGCAAGGGGGGCAAGGGGGCAAGCGGGGCAAGCGGGGCAAGCGGGGCAGTCGGTCTGGATTGTTTGAATACGGGCTGACGCGCATGTCGTGAGAACGGCTTCTCAATGCTTCTTGTTGTCGGTACCCTCTGTACCCTTCTTTGGATTGAAGAGTGTTCTTTCTGGAATCTTCAATCCACATGCAACCCAAGGATTGCAACGTTGTATGAAAGTATATAAATTCGATAGATGGATGGATCGAAAGATAGATAGCTAGATAGATTGGTAGATAGATAGGTAGATAGGCAGATAGGTGAACAGATAGCTAGGTAGATAGATATGTAGATGAACGGAAAGGACGGATGGATGGACAGTATGGGTGGATGGATAGGATGGATGGACGGACGGACGGATGGAATGGAATGGAATGGGTAGACGCCCGCCTGATAAACGATAATAGTCAAAATTACTTTCCTCGAGTGGCCCCGGTCAACTGGCATTCTAGTTGACATATCATATATATAGAGAGAGAGAGATTCTATCGGGCATTCTTTCTGGCATTCCATCTGCCATATATTTTGAGATTGTTTCTGATTATTTTGATATTCTCTCTGGCATTCTATCTGATATTCTATCTGGCATTCTGTCTGAGATTTCATCTGACATACTGCCTGACATTCTATCTGGCATTTTTTATGGGAGTCTATGTGGCATACATTCTGACATCCTATCTGGCATTCTTGCCGGTCTGTGTGTTTCCAGATGCATGTTTCCCAATGTGACTGAACTTGCAAACATTGGCTCTATCTGGTGGTGCCACTTGCCACTGTCAAGATTAGCGGCCCTTGGCTTACCTGTGCTCTCTGAGCCGGGCTGTCGATGGTATCTCGAGCATACAAAAGTACAATCACAAGGATGTATGTTAGTTACCCGTACTTGGTTAGGCAGTGGGCTGTATGGAAATATACAGATTTGGTACAGTGGTTCGAACCAAGCCAGTAAGTAGCGACGCAAAGTGTGTTGGTGTATATAACGCCTTGGGCTGTAGATTGCAGATTCTGTTTGTGATTGGGACATCTTGAAGTCAACAGCGAGATGTCAGGAAGTAATCTCCCGACGACAGAAATTCATCATCTGTACCATTACCACGACTGCCCTATTTGGAGTCGTTTTCTTTGCAGCTAGGTGAACGTAGGAGGTTCGGGTTCAAGCGTTGCAAGAATCTTGTTTGCAGACGCTGCAGGCCGCAGACCGCAAATTATCCGTACCTGATTAGCGCCGCCCTGGCTTCGTCCACTGCGACCTGTGGGCCTCAATGGCATGGACGATATTGTGCAGTCCTTTTGTACACTAGGCCAAGCAGTTTTTGATAATGTCGCGAGGTTAAAAAAATTCGCTGCGCGCTACAGAAGTGTTGAAACTGAGAGATGTGGAGGGCATGTGAACATTTTCACATTGTTCCGGCTGTCCACGCAGCGCAACATGCATGAGACCCAGTTTGGTTGCATATTGTCGATATCACGCTTGGGACTGCAAAGGCAAATCCGACAAATATGACCATCATACCACGCATTGACAAGTGCTCTCCGGTACCCAAGCCGCGCCATCAAGTTCAAGTTGTAGGAGTTAGCTTCCTAGACATGGCCACGTGTGAAATTTGTGGAGATGGTTTCGCAGACGATGCGGAAAAACACTTGTGCTCCCCGAGCCGAGCCGAGACTCTTGCTCACACATGTGCCAGGCGGATTGCTTGCAGCAATACCGATTAAAGCAGGGCTGCCCTATGCATGACTCCCCATTCTGTCTTCAGAATGAAGATTCCCAGGAAGAGGCTGATGATGGTGGTTTGCAAGAGATGGAGATTGAGGCAGCAATGGAAGCAGAGGCTGTGGCTGAGGGGGTAAAAAGAAAGACCAGAGAAGAGGCAGCTTCGCCTGTCCGTGCGGGTGGGGGCCCAGCGGGCAAGAAGTTAACAACCAACGCAAGCCCACCAGCAGGACAACGCAGCCCAGTGCCGCCCACCCAAAGGTCCCCAAGCCCAGAAAGCCCTCCCTTCACACAGGGTGGAAGTGAAGCAGCCCGCTTGTCCATTCCAAGCTTTGGGATTGACATCTACGACCTGAGTCAGACCAGCAAGGCATCTACCACGGTGAAGGATCCTATGCACGACGCCATATCAAATTACTTGGCTTGCATGGATGAAGCACAAAGCCTTTCATTCCTTCACACCACGAGCACATATCAAGGGCTTGGAAGCCCGGAGGCTTCTTATCAAACCGTTCTGAATGCAGCCTTGAAAGACCCCAGGGTTGCTGTGGCATCAGACTTTGCCTTCCGAACTCGAGAAGTGCTGCCCGCGCCTTTCGGAGTCAGCTTGAGAACCATTGCCCGCAAGGAAGGTTGGGAGCCTGAGACATTCATGGCGCCGATCCTCAGCAACATTGGTTGGATGGAGCATCCATGCAGGCACGCGGCTTCGATTGCAGCCTGATGAGGAGCACCAACGTGGCTGCGTAGTCCAGATTGTTTGCGCAGGTGACCCCAGCATGCGCAAGAGTTCTTTGAAGGATTTTACCAGCAAAAAGCTTCTTTCCCATGCAGATGTCCCTGCTGTCATCAAGGCAGGTGGCGCCACATGCACGGATGCCACCATCAAGGGTATTCGTGCTTCTATCAAAGAATATGTCCGAGCTGGCATCATTTCGGATGAGATTGCCACAACAATATGCCGTGACATCCGGGAGGGAGACCCGACACTCAGGTCTGCACTACGGCAACAAAGAAAAGATGTGCACTTGGCTGAACTGCGAAGGTGACAAGACAGTCACTGGAGATGGTGCCACTGCGCTGACTCATTACATCTTCGTTCACCACGTGTATGGACAGGTGTCGCTTTGTGAGTATGTGCTCCAGCCGACTGCAAGCATGTTTTCCAAGAGAATCCATGCGACGTGGCAAACAAGGCCAGTGACAAGTGACCCTGATCAGCAGAGCCAGTCCAGCAAAGAGTTTCTGATTGACTTCTTTGGTTGGATGGGGCGCGTGGCAAGCAACCAGGACAAAGACCACTATTTTGACAAGTTCGCCTTGCCCGTGCTCAGGAAGGCTTTGCAGGGAATCTCCGACTTCTTGCACGAGAATCACGAGAATGTAGAAGAACCAATCTAACAGAAGCTACGCTATGCTGACACAGATGCTCCAAGCAAGTCCAAGCCTTGGTAGGCCCCAAAGCCGTGCCAGATGTCAAGACCCCAGGACTTGCAGATTTGGATGCCAAGATGAAATTGCAGCAAGTCATTCTGTCCAATCCTCGATGCGCTGGTCCAACCTCCACTGCGCACATTCGCTCTGTTCTGAAGTACCACTTTCAGAAGGAGAAAGAAGAAAAACCAGCAAAGTACGTCTTGGCAGCAGTCAAAGACCTCTTGAAAGTTGGCATCTTGCAAGAGGTTGACAAGAAGGAAGTGGAAGAGCAGGCGCCCAAACTTAAGGAGAAGAAAAGCGCCAAGAGCAAGGAGGCCACGCTAAAGAGCGAGCCACGAGGCCCGCCAGGTGGCCACGCTGTCCTGTACTACCAGACATGTGCCTGGGAAGACCTTTTGACTAATTCGGAAGCTCAAGACATGATTGCCAAGCTGCAACTGAGTGCCAATGATTTCAAGTAGGATTCCAGAAATACGAGGTCTTGCACGGTCCCATGTCTAAACTGCCAGCCCAAAAAAAGAGTGACAATGTGCTCCAAAGCACTTGTTGTATATAAGTCTTGTTTCCAAAGATACGCGTCAATAATGGTGCGATTCCTCGAAATTAAGCTCTGGCTTCTTTCCAGCCCGAGCGTGTTCCTGACCCTACGAGGTGAATGCTTTCAATCAAGACTGTATGGTGGCTGCAACATATTGTGCGTCAATTTCAATCAACCCACCCATTTTCATGACAAGACATTGTGGTGTGAAGATCTTACATAGTGGTTCATCATCGTGTCCAAAGCCACATTCAAAACAGTCTGCTCGGCCTTCTAGTGTTCAATCGTGTGCGCTGGTGGCATGAGATTGACAAAGGCCCAATCTACTCTTTTTGAGGCAAAGCGGACAGCCAACACCGCGGCTCCGAAATAGTTTGCGCGGCGCATGTGAAGCCACTGTTCGCTGAACATAGCCATTCGAGATGTTGAAGCAAGACACATGTTTTATTTGTTCCTGATCCAGTCCAAGAAAGAATTGAAACTTGCACCTGTTTTTTCTGTTTTCTACCATCCTTTCCGACTGCGATATATTTTTTCTGCTTCATGGGGGAAAGAAGACTCACGGGAGTCCTGTCCACACCGACCATGTCGCTGACTCCTGCGTCTGCAGGTGCCGATGCTAAGTGGCACCAGGACAACGGCTTCTACCTTAGGGATTCAGCAGATGCTGATGCCAGCATGCGTGATGTTGGTACGCAATCAAATAGAGATGGCACAATAGTCCACTCCTCACTGTGACCATCGGGTCTGTGGTCCCGCGGGGCCCGTGCACTGCGCGTCGGTGCGCATTCCCGGAATGGCTGGAGGTTGCTTCCGGTGATGCTTGATGCACATTGGTGTCAAGCAATGTTCAACGCAATTTTTCGAGGACATGTTTAAACATAGTCGATCTTTGTTTGGGCTCATACAGACCTTGTACAAAAGGATCTTGCACAGCAGCGTCTAGAAAGAACCTGTCAAGGAGATCTTGCACACGTCTTCTACAAAGGGAACTTGCAGAATCCAATCTGGTATTGTTGCAACGGTGTTTGGAGTCGCCCCCCTCGCCCCACTCGCCCTACTCGCCCCACTCGCCCCACTCGCCCCACTCGCCCCACTCGCCCCCCTCGCCCCACTCGCCCCACTCGCCCCACTCGCCCCACTCGCCCAAACATTCCATTCACGTTGCCACCTCTATTCCTTTTTCATACTGCTGTGTGCTGAAACCAAAGCAAGCAGGGCAAGCGGGGCAAGCGGGGCAAGCGGGGCAAGCGGGGCAAGCGGGGCAAGCGGGGCAAGCGGGGCAAGCGGGAAGAACCACCGATCTTCCCTCGGTTTGCAAGTAGGGCAAGCGGGGCAAGCAGGGCAAGCGGGGCAAGGAGGAAGATTCACTTATTTTCCCTAGAAGCGGAGCAAGCGGGGCAAGCGGGGCAAGCGGCAGAAATCACTTAGCGGCCCCGCGGGGCACCCACACTGTTTTATCGCCAATTTGTGGCCCTGTTGGGGGAACATATTTTTTGAAGCAGCGTGTTTTTCTTGGGCGGGGTTAAGAGGGAACACAAATAGTCTCTAATCAAACACCTGGTTGGCTTTTTGGTAATTGCCCCAGTGGAGAAACCTGTAAAACACATGGCAAGGTAGTTGCTGTAGGATCCCATAGGATCCTTGTGTCGTGCCGGTGATCGACTGGGCGAGGTTTGAGCCAGACCAACAGCGAATCAAAGCGGACGTTGCGCCGAAGATGAATCGCAACTCGGTAGCATGGGGGACTCAGCAAGTTTCTATATGTGATACCCTCTGGTAAACTAACATAGCTATTGAAAATGGCCATAGAAATAGTGGATTTACCCATTGAAAATGGTGATTTTCCATAGTTTTTTGTATGTTTACCAGAGGTATGTGGGAAAACACCCCCCCTGGTGGATCATTTTCGGAACGGGAAACCGATGGAATAGCAACAGGATTTTCACATCTTGAGTTGATCATGATCTTCGCCAAAACTAGGCAACACGCCAAGCCAATCCTCATCATGCTACTGTTTTATATGGGTGTATGTATATGGTCCATATATGTGTATATTTGTATATATATATGATACATATATAATGTCTATCATGTGTATATATGTGTGTGCGTGTGCGCGTGCATATATTGGTGACATATATTTACAGACTGTGTCTATTACTATCAAAATTCATATCCAATGAATCTTATACCTTCTGTATCCAATCTTGTCTTATCAGGTCTAGTCCAATCCAATCCGCCGATCTTTCCCTCGATGTGGTTCAACCTCAGGAGTACACCAACAGCCTTTTCTAGGGACCCACTAGGCTTGTGTTCCGCCGATCCTTAGTTATTTGGGTATGATATACGGGATTATATGGGTCAAAATTTAGCAGCCCACTAAGATTGGATAATACTAAAATTGGATCAAATCAAACCTATGGTCCCTTTCCGAAAGTCCAGATTTCTTTTCCATTTCCTTTCATCCAATCCTATTCTTAGCCGCCTTCAGAGATCCCAAGTCATAAACAACTTATAAAAACTTATACAACATTGCCATGGAACATGACCCAGGTGTTTTCCCTATCAAAAATAAAAAACGGTGTTTTTTCCATCTTTCATCGGAAAATCCAGGCTTTCCTGTAGATTTTCCCTTTCCACCACTGATTTCATGGGAAAATCCATTGGGAAATCCATTGAACCGGGATCCTCGAGGTCTGGTCATCTTCTTTAGCGACTCCTCGGTCCCTCACGAAGTGCGTCGATGCCGCAGTGCCCTGGCTATGACCGCGACCAGCAGGGAGTGCAGGGAGTGGGACCTATATTGCCATGAAATATCGTTTTTTTTTTTTTTCTGGACTATATGTGTGTAATTACTGTACATGTAATTCTATGATTTATATGATTTGTATATATATATATGTATATATATATATATCTCTCTCTCTCTATATATATATATATTATGCATGTATATATATATATATGGGATGGCATTGCATTTTTTTGGGGATCATGAACACAGCACAGGTCAAAGTTCGTGGCTGAGCCGTAGATTTGGGGTTCTTTTAAGGGTAAACACATGGTACAAGGTGATGCCCTTGCCGTCATAGGAGAGAGATACGCTGTGACCACCTGGTACATCAACCAGGCCGGGATTGGTTGGACATGGGGATCCTGGTAGTGGCTGGACATGGGGTGCTCCAGGTCGCTTGTTTTTACGATGTGGTAATTTGTGTCATAGCTATGGAACATCACCATTCTTATCCATTCTTCATAGGGAAATCATTACTTTCATGGGATTTTATGGGTCACTTCGATGGCCATGTTAACTTACCATAGGGTACATCATGTACATCGTTCAATTGTGATGGGACTCGGGTTTGCAGAGGGTTGAAATGCCACTCCACCGTATACTACAGTTGTTTCCTTCGATACACGTGGCCGTTTGGATGGTTGCCTCAGCAGGAAATGCATTTGGCCTACCACCAAGCGGAGGAGGTGGGTCAGTGAGCGGCTTGAGCTTTGGTGATGTCATGATGTCGTCATGTCTGACGCGCGTCGCCAACGAAGTGCTGGTGGATCTGTTCTTTTTGGTGCCCAAAACGGGAAATAGCTTCACCAGGTGTTTCTGCCCGCAAAGAGATCATGTGGTTTGACGGATTTCGGTGTGCGAAGTGCCGATTTCGGAAAGGGAATCGTTTTTTTAGCACACCGCAGTTTTCTTTGCGAAGATGCATCCATACTATGCGCGGAGCTCAGTGGGCCTAGTGTTTCATCCCCGTGCGGCCGCCTGTTGAGAACTGAACCATCCAATCAGAGACGGTGCGCTGGCGATTCACCGGATGCAGTGGACTTGCCATGTGCGCCGAAGTGGCAGTGGAAACTCCAACTCAGTTCTCAATGGAAGGAGCCATGGCGGCAAAGTTCCATTTTAGTGGCCAAAGCTGCGAAATCTTTGAGGAAAAAGATGGTGAAGCTTGCCACTTCGATGAAGAAAGATGGTTTCAGACTCATGAAGACTAGGCAACATTGTGTCATATTGTGTCCATTAGATTTTCATAGATTTTCAACAAAGGTCCATTAGGCTGGCTTATTCTCGGCCTTGATCCTTTTCTGTGCCTGATGCTTCCCTCAGGATGCCTCCCAAGCCTCCCCCGGCCGGCCTAGGAACGAAAGGAATCGCCGTACTTCGCTCAGGGAACTGGGTCGACGGAGTGACGAAGTGGATGTTTTCTCAGCTTGCCAATCAAGATTTGACCTGTAACCTTTATGTGGAACTTTCCGGTGGCAATGGGAATCCCTAAGTTCAAAAGCTACATCATCCACAAATATCTGCCAATCCGGATTTTCATATTGTTTCATCCTTTTTCCGTTGTCTGTGTTGTTAAAGAAACGTCCTGAAGTGTTGTTATGCTCCAGCACTGCCCTTCAAAATTGGAGGTCGGATGCCTTTGACAGTGTCAACAAAGCTATGTTGGTATGCGCACCCTTTTGTATGAACAAATGGGATGCTTGCGGCGATTTCAAGCCGCTACCTTGTAGGAAGAGAGTGACCAACTCTTAAACTCCTATTAGACGAATCGCCTGTAAAGTTCCGCCAGATTTTCTGCAGAACAATCGTCAGGACAATCTCCCAGACTTGCTTGAAGGGGAAATTTGCACGAAACCTTTACAATATATGTTATAATTATCCTCTATATATCTGTGGGGTTTCAGTTGAAAAACAAGGTTTTCCTGCAAATTGTCCAGTGACAATCACCCAGCCACGGCCGTCAGTGGGCATATCTGCTCAAGTCTCTTTTTTTATGTGCCTTTTCGCCGCCCCCTGAAACTTGTGCTGGGGGGCTGGCGTTGCGTTTTCGCACCGCGCATGGTGTGGCTGGGCGGCACATCTCTATGCGAAGGTGATCCAACATTGATATGAAGTTGTGGATTCGTAGCGGCGTTGGAGTCGAGCCCTTTCGGATGTTCTCTGCAAGGTTATGTAACTACCAACAATTACGAACATCTAAGAATTGAAGCATTTTTTAAAGCACTGCATTTTGAATTTTTGCGCAGCAAGTGACTGCAGTGGTTTCCTTTCCAACTGTGCTCTCTCTGAGGCAACAGCTGCTGCACAGATTGGTGTTGATATGCCTGAACCTCAGCCCCAGATCTTCACCAATGAGGTATGCTCTCAAATGCTGTAAAGGTGGGAAATGCTTGCGTATGTTGAGCTCTTCATTCTTCTTGATCACATCCCTGGTTTTTGTGGGTAAAATCACCTGATTTCTACTTTCTTTTTTTTGTATGGGCAGAACACATCAACCTCTCCAGCTCCGTTTTCTGTTCCCATTTCGTTTCCCCAGCCGAAATCTTAGTTTCGCGCCTCAGGGGTGCTAAGTGGCCTTGGTCTTGCCCTGGGAGGCCAGCTTGTGACATGTTGGTGGGTCCGAAAACCAGAAGACATCACAAGACTCGGGCCAAAGACGGGAGACATGGAAGGCGGAGCCAACAAAGACAGGGTAGAAACACCAAACCTGGGAACCTGTGCAGAGAACGGCAATGTGGATAGTGAACAAATGTGAACAATCAAACATCAAACTGGGTTGCTGGAAAGGTAAGTTTCCGTCCCTTTCTTGGATGATCATGTTTTATCAAGGCCATCTAGGGGATCCCATGTTTGTTTCAGCTGCTTTCTCTTCTTGTTACATAGCTATGATGAGTCACACGGTCCTTTGCAGTCACCCGCAAACAAATTGATAGAAGCGACATTTATATACTACTACCAAAAACTACAGCATTCTTTAGTAGAATTTCAAATTTCACCCTTTTTGATGTTTACCACGATGAACATGAAGGGGGCCCTGAAGCTCAGAAAATGGCTGGGAAAAACGTTGTAATCGTGTCCCATGTCGCAGGCAACGACCAAGCTGATGCAGAGAAGGCTCGAACAGGGGTGAGATAGCGCGATATACCTCAGTGCACAGCCACTACTTTTGGGACTATGAGTGGAACTCCTTTCCTTGATTTATTGTAATCAAATATTAATTAAGCCTTAAACGAATTCACCAGAAATGGTCAGTCGCGATTTTGCATGCCATTTAAGTGAACATCCGATTCTACAAGGAAGACACAGATAGACGTGAGAAGACAGCCATTGACTTGTTCTCAGAAGGGTAGTTACCTCACATATGCATAGATGCGTGGTATTATGGATAGCTGTACATACACAAATGCCTATCTGTTTATATATAGAAGATAATAGAAGTTGGCCGCGGCCGCAAGGCACTGGTTTTGTTCTCGCCCGCAGGTGCAGGGCAATCTAGAGCTGGCGCCCAGACGAGAACTGTTACGCAAGGAGGGCAGAGATACTTGGCAAAAAGAATGGGCAAATCTTGGTGCCAGTCAGTACAGGTAGGTGAAACAGGGTGAGTGGCAGGTCCCCTAGCTGCGGTCATCCCACCTACACCCTGCGAACTTGCGAATGATGTAAAATGATGTACAGCAAGGATCAGCAAGGTATTTATATAAACCATGGATATCAAATCAGTGGGAAGCAAGGAAGGGTTTCCCCAAGATTGGTGATGCAAGCTGCTCAAAAGCCCAGGAATGCAACGCCACACCATGTGGATTCATGTGTTAAACCGTCAGCCCCCATGATAATCGGCAATGACTTAACGTACGTATATAAAACGTTATAAAACTACGAAGCTGTAGAATTCGGTATTCTTTGACTTTGCAGCGTGTCTTTCCCACGCTAAGCTGCTAACTTCCAGTGGGCTGTTCGCCGAACCAGCGGCCCCATCTGCCCGCGTTTTTATGGCTCAGGAAAATGAGCAATCTATGAAGGCAGCTCGGCAATTTTCGCAGGGCGTAGCTTGGTTTCCTTTGGGATCTGGGAGACAACTCTGAGGCTCCAAAATGACTCTTCTAGAAAACCATATCCATGCAGGTAAGGGCTGGCGATTCTCAATTTTTTCTCAACATGGGATGACCCAGGGTGAGGCGGAAGCAGAAATAAATCTACAATTGGCATCAATTCGCATAAGATTCACAGAATGGGTCTGAGTCATGTTTCTTTTGGACAGCCCAAGTTGGACGATTTGGTACTGAACATGTTCATTGCGTGGGGTGATGATCCCCTTGTAGGCGAGTCCTGCGGCCTTCAAAGAGATCCTTGGCTGCATTGGGACATGGCTCAGATATTGTTGCCCCAGTGAGGCACGGAACAGTGGGACTTCTTTAAAAGTACCAACCAATAGAAAGCTTAGGATGTAGCGGAATGCAGGGTATTGCCATTGGTGGATAATGCCATTGATGGGTATTTCCTATGCAAATTGATGACCTCAAAAAGTCCAACGGGGGACCTCGCCATGAGTCAGGTACCGCTTCTCAGTGGACAAGACTCGAAAGTCAGGCCTTGAGATGCTTCTTACAAGGGGAACAGTTAACCATAAATCGCCATATTTCAGGTTGAGGAATTATAATTGAGCCAGACAATGGTTCGATAAATATAATGAAGCACGAGAAGAGCGTGGTTGTTCTAGTTTATTAATTCAATTAAGTTATTGCATAAGATCAGTTGATCCATTCCATTTCAGCTAATTCAAGCAATGCAATTAAAACATGTAGTTAAATAATTTCAATGTATTTGATTTTGCTATTTCAAGCACTTTCTAGTTATTTGATTCTTTGAACTATTTATTTAAATCCCCTAACACTGTTTATTAGTTGTTTTTTCCCGTTTTAGTTGACATGATTTCCTGCAGTTCAATTATTTGACTAATTTGATTGCATAACTTAATTTAGCGGATACTTCTATCATCCAACTATATAATGGATCAATCCATCATATTCATCCATTCTTTTATTCTGTTGAAAAAAAGTTAAGTGGATTAATTTCACATATTGAGTCTGAGCTTATCTAACCACGCCAATGTTGTTGGGAAGTAATTCACCTGTTTTCATTATTATCATTATTTTTATTTCTATTTTTAAACTCGTGTACTCTTTATTTGAATTCAGCTAAGCAATCCGATCAATTTATTCAAATCAGTCAATTGAATTAGTCTAGCAAAATTCTCTGATTCCATTTATTTTAGCATGCTGTTGTTTGTTTAATTGTTATACTTATTTTAATTGTTTTATTTAACTTACTAATTGCATTGATTTGACGAACTGTTTAGACGTTTAGGCTGATTCATCAATCTCTACATACATAACTGATTTAACTAGTCGAATTTTACTAATCATTTTAGAGTAATTAGTTTGGGCATTTTCATTATCATAATTAGCGTTTGAACAAGACCGTTACATAATTGATTGATTTAGTTCGTTTTTTTTTGACTACTGAAAGTTCATAGTACTGGTACATAGATTTGACGAAACAGTGGAGCTGATAATGCGGCCAGCATAGAAAAACAAGGCAACAAGTGCCAAAATTGAGCCACCAAAGTGCAAAACTCGAGAGACCAAAAGGTTGAAATTTAGCATCAACAGATGTTAAACATGAGCTTCAATAAGTGTCACAATCGAGCGCCTAAAGGACCGAAATTGATCTACCAAAAGACCAGCATTGAGCACTAAGAACCATAAAATGCATCACGCTAGATGCAACAAGAAGTGCAAATTGACCACCAAACGGTGGCAAAATTGACCAAGCAAAGGGCCAAAATGGAGCCACTGAAGTGTCAAAATGGAGACACCAGAAGCCAAACAAACAGCACAAAAATGTTTCAACATGCGAAACAACATGCAAAACATAGCACCACAGAATGCAAATAATTGGCCCCAAAGTGCCAAAATCGAGGCCACAAAGTGCCAAAAAACTGTGACAGCGCCCTGTCAATCTTGGAAAAGGAATGCACGACAAGGCAACAAAGAAACGGAAAAAGGAACAGGAATAAGAAGAGGAAATAACGGAGCGAACAAGCGACCTGAAAAGAGGACAAACTTGTGCCCGTGATGGCCCTGTCAATCCTGGAAAATGAAATGAAGGGGAGAGGAACAACAACAAAAAAAAGGAACAAACAAGAAGATTGAGAAGACACGCAAAAAAGGCAGAAAAAACAACTTGAAACTCACGGATGCAAAAAAGAAAAACACCAGGCAAAAACAGTCAAGGGAGAGGAGACGAAACATACTGTGAGAGGAAATCGGAACAGAATGGCAAAAGGACCAAAGGAAGAAAAAACACGAGGAAAAGGAAGAAGGAAGAAGAAAAGGCAGAGGGGGAAAGAGAGAAAAAAGCAGAAGAAGGATATATTTTTAAAAGAAGTGTGGCTGCATTTGTTCCCTTCTCTAATCTTAAGGTCTGATGAATATAGTCCTTCACACTGATCTCTTTATTTTACTAGTAGTAGACCTGAATGTCTCAATCCTATCTTTGCTTTTCATCATTTTTAGACCCTTGTAAATGACAATTAACAACTCGCATTCTAACATTAGCAACAAATAGAACGATTCTGCCACGGGAATCTCTGATTTTCTCACTGCTATTTTTTTTCTATCATTCCTCATGTTCAGTTGGCTTCCAGTAGCGGTCCCAAGATGGAGTGACTAACAATGAGACCTAGCTATCCAATGCGAATAGTTAGTTAGAACCAGAGGAAAAAGAAAATAAAGTGGAGGAAAAGGAACACGAAAAAGAAGAAAAACACAGAAGAGAAAGTGGTTTCAGAATGTGCACAATGTGTATGCGTGTGGATGTGTGTCAGACATTAATGTTTTGATCCTGGCAGTGCCGCCCTGTCAATGTTGGATAAAGAAAGGCAAAAAAAGGGACCCACTTTCTTTTAAACTTGCATATATGTTTCTAAACCTTGCCTCTTTCTTTTAACCTTGGAAACTCTTTTTTCTAAACTTGCCTTGCTACCTCTCTTTTCTAACCTTTGCTTAAAAAAAGTAGGCCAAGGTCAAAAAAGAGTAGGCCAAGGTCAAAAAAGAGTAGGCCAGGTCAAAAAAGAGTAGGCAAGGTTAGACAAAAGTAATCCAAGGTCAAAAAACAAGAGGCAAGGTTGGAAAAAGTAGTCCAAGGTCAAAAAAACAGTTGCCCAAAAAGAAAGAGGACAAGGAGGAGCAGCAGGAGGAAAAAAAGCATTAATAAGATTATAAAATCAAAGCAACGCGAAGCAGGAAGAAAACTATGAAGATCCACAAGACGAAAACTAAGGAAAAAGACAAGAAAAATACATGATGGAGAGAAACACACACACACATGCATGCATGCATGCATACAGACAGACAGACAGACAGACAGACAGACAGACAGACAGACATACAGACACACAGACACACACACACAGACATACATACATACGTACGTACGTACATACATAGATACATAGGAGAGAAACATACAGAGAAAACAAAAAACACTATAGTCTATGCATATGTATGTGGCAGGGACCTTTTGGGTCTATTTCATTTCTGTGTGCTTTTTCCTTTCCTAGCAGGACGGTCCCAGTGAAGCTGAGCACCTGGTGGATACGGAAAAGAACACGTTCTATGCGCGCTCCAGGAAACATTCCGGAATAGCAAAAGGAAGAAAAGGATGCTCTAAGGGGCCAAAGGTGATTGCGCGAGTGAATCAGCATGCATGTATGTTTGTATATTTATAGCTGCATATATGCTAATCGTCGTTAAAGTCCCTGGTTGCTGGCTATACCGGCATGGTAAAGGAATATGACCCTAGTCCCGCCACCGCCGGCAATTTCCGGTGACCACTTGGATGATCATCCCAGTTAATATCTAGTCAATGAATCTGGTTAGTGAGTCTTCGCTTCCTGGGATTTCACCATTGCCCACATCATTGGGTCAATAACGCCAGTTGCGAGCAAGTTATGGCCGGTAGACTCAGCAGTAAATTATCATAAACCGTCCACACTGCTCGGGGTTATGGAAGGGCTGCGGCCCAGGGTGCTGCCGATTTTAGCGCAACTCTGCACGTTTCAAACCTGGGTGCGCGCCCCTGGCAACGCAGGGGTCGGCGGATGACCCAGGAAAAAGTCGACTGATGCCAGGCCAATCGGTCTTCGACATCTCGGAGCTTTTCCTCTTGGATCAAGCTGGTGAGGCATGCCCCAGCTTTTCCCAAGTTTTATTAAGTCCACATGTCCAAAGCCAAGCAACATGCGGTGCTCACACCAGGTAGCAGCAATCCTTTCCTGTTAGGGCTGGTCGAAAAAAATCCGAACAAGGATACGTCCAACTGGTTTGCTGGCCTTCAAAACTGCCATGGAATGATGTCCGTGGAACTTTGCGCAATCCTGGGAATCCTGGGCGAATTTTATAACGGCCTCATTGGCCGACGTCATCCTACATCACGGTTTGGTTTTTGGATGTTATTGGGAAATCATGTTCAGAAGAACGATTTTCGGGCTGGTGAATATTGTTGCATTTCAGCCTCAACCATAAGGCGTTGAGAAAATGATGGCATCGCTGCCGACATTCCACCATGAAAATCAATGCATGAGCCGACGGGGTGCTTGGCTTGAGGCCTTGCCCCTTAACACGCCCAACACTGTGCTGAGCATCACCAACAGTCAGGCTGGGCACAACAGCTTCGGTTGGCGATAGCATGCCGCAGCTATTGAACTGGAGGGTGGAGCTTCCAACAATGCGCAGGTGTGTCTACATAGTTATATAATATATAGATAAATGAATAAATATAAGATAGCCAGAAATATGCACGTATTTTTTTTTAAAATATAAATATAAAGATCAATATAAAAACTAAATAAATAAATAAAATGAATAAATGATTAAGTAAATAAATAAATGAATAAATAAGTAAGTAAATAAATAAATAAATACACACACACACATATATATATAAATACACGTGGACTCTATATTTCTTTATTTGGAATATATCTGCATATATATATATATATATATATTTATACATAAAATTACACACACATGTATATATATATATATAACATCATGGACTATATGTACATAAGTATAAGCCCATAGGTGGTTATATGATACATGATTTTTGGGCCATTGCGGACATGTATTGCAGATTGCAAGAAAAATGAATAAAGAGATTGAGATAGACGACAACACGCTGACTGATATGAAATGCAGTAAAATGATATGATCTGAAATGATCTGATACATCTTCACGCGGATGACGCAGGCCTTCCGCTTTTGAAATAGGTTGGCTGTCAACCTAAAACTATTGCGCTGACATGCGCTGGCCGTGCCACGTTTTCAGGTCATTAGTAGCAATCCACGGAACTTGGTCGACAACAACCCTGCCACCAGCAGCTTGGCAGCGGCCAGGTGCAGTAGTTGGACGTGTCTGTAGATTCAGTACCGCAGCAAAGAGACTTATGCGTTGTTACCCTCTGGTAAATTAACATAGACCCTGAAAATCACCAATTGTTAGAGGAAACTAATCTTCCAACCCCTATCTACCAGGGTCTATGTTAATTTACTGGAGGGTAATTAAATCCAAGCCTTGTGGCTACTTGTTGGCATATTAATTATGACACAACATGGTGATATTCTGGGTGGAGGCAGCTTCGTTTTTAAAGTCCTGACTACATCCAGTAGGCCACTGTCAATGGCGTGGCGTTGCTGGATGGGTGATGCAGGCCCCCAACCTAGAAGATTGATTGTTTGGATGTTAACCCAGCACGGGTGAAGGCTCATTGAGCACCCAGCGCCTTGCAGTTGCGAGCGGTGCCCCCTCTCATAGGCATTGAAGTGGCACCTTTCCACTTCCATTTCTCCAAGGCATCCGGCTCACCACTAATCAGACCATCACACTGAAGCTGCAGCAGATGGGTGTTTTGGTGGCTGGGTTTGGCTTCAAAACGAGCCAGAACGAGGACCGGTAGGAAACCTGGCCCTTTGCGTGGGGGATAGGTGAGATTATATACATGTACATGTCTAGCCACCCAGAAAATAATGGAGCAAGAGCCCGAGGAGCCAAGTGTATGAGGAATCGTCACTACATTACATCCCAACTTCAACAGACACTTGGTTTCAGGCAATTTCAGTAATCCAGATGCGCTTAGTTGGGCATTTTCAAAAATCAAAGTTCGTTGATGTTTTGTTCAGGGGTCATATTTCCCAGAAAAATTACATGGGGATTCTCACAAGCCATGAGCTGGGAATGCCAATGAACCAGATCTTTGGCATTTTCCAAGTCTTGCAACGGATTTTCCAATAACATTCCCCAAATTTTCTTGCACGAAGCCATTGTCTGGAGAATTTAGTAATAGATGTAATAGGTATTTGATCGTGTTCAATTGTTCCGCTGTTGGCTTCCAAGTATTGCGCTGCAGGACGGCAATGGATTTGATCCGATCTCTTTCCGCTTGGAGGGTTCCATGGATGGCAGCAGCTGGTATCTCCTAAACCAGAAGGCTGGTTATAGCACACCAGAAGCTCGTGGGGCGCTGGTGGGCCCATTCATGGTTTCCAAGTGCCTTTGTGATTGTGGCGATGGTGCTGCTGCTGCTGATGGTGGTGGCGGTGGTGATGATTCTGGCGATGAGTGTGACGAAAACGACGAATTTGGTACCAACATATAAATGTCAATATGCCTTTGACATATTTTGAGCATGAGGAAGATCATGAATCATGCTGGTCTTTAATCACGATGACAATTTTGGTACCTTGTGGCTCTGAAGACACGCAGTATGAACGTGAACCTGATGATTGAGGTTGACAGCTCTAGCATTGCAAGGTGACAAGACCCTCCCGGCCAGCGCCTTTCCAACGACTGTGCCTGTGCCACCGCCAGTGCCCTCTGCAGCACTTGGTGTGGTCTCGACGGGGTCCATGCATCGGCCTTTTGATCGGGCCACGGTGTCTGGTTCATTGTCGACCCAGGGTGAGCACAAGGACGGTGATGATTCCATGACATGCGGTTTGGAGATTTCATTATGAAGTAGCACCCCCCCACCGAAGTAGAGCATTTGACCTAGGGCAAAAATATTTTCTGCACATTTATAAATTTTCATCCATTTCTTCAACCATTGCTACCTAAAAGCATTTATATAACTCAAGGGCCAAATCGAATTGAACCCAAGCCATTGTCATCATCTCAATCTTTATATCTTTATGATCAGCTCCTTGGCTTCCCCAGGACATAGCAGCCGTGGGCGCCTTGCGAGCCACCACCATCACCAGCACCTTGCCCTCGGCTCCAAAGGTGGCTGCGGCCGTGCTGGATGCCTCAGCCTCGGTCGGCCTGGACAAGGCCGATGCCGCTGCCACCGTTGCTGCGGTGGCTGCTGTGGAGGCGGTGACTGCAGCACCGAGTACGGCTGCGGCCCGGCTGGCGCAGGCGGCCACAGCGGCGGGGCTGGCGCCGGAGCAGGTGGAGATGGTGACGGCCACATTGCAGTCAGTGGATCAAAGTCATTGGGAGGCCGTTGTGGAAGCTTGGACTGCGGTGGCGGCCAAGAAAGCACAGGCCCAAAGTGCGGAAGATAAGGCCGGGGGGTTGGCCAAAAGTTGTGGCCGGTCGGTTTTCTGGATTGCCCGATTGTGAAGGATAATAACCAAAGCTGCTGCATTAAACCTTGTTCCCAGCCAAGCAGCCACAATTCTTGCGTTAGGCCAGGATGGCAGAGGAACTTTTGTTTGCAATGTGTTGTGCCTGCAACTATTGCTCTGGCATCTTCCAATTGCCGTCCTCGTTATGAAACCGCCTCAAAACATCCCTGGTGCCAGGTGGCTGCAGTGGTCTCTGCATCTGGCGAGGCCGGCTTAACGGTCGCCCAGCAGGCGGCGGCCGCAGCCACCAGTGCCAATGCAGCTGCAGCACGAGTAGCAGAAACGGTGGCGGCTACGTCGCCGTTGAAAATGGTGGGGGAAGCGCTGGAAGGCTAACTCCGATGTGGAACTAGCGCCATTTCTTTTGCAAGTTTAGACTCGGCCTTTAAAATTTGGGGGGTGGCCCTGCGGAATAGAGGTCATTTGGGTTCCATGGATGTCGGACTGCGGCGATTTTCGGGGGCATAGGCAACATCATGCACATGATTAAATTTTGTGTCGCCGATTTCTTTTGCTGAAACTTTGAGGCAGGTTGGCTTGCCCAGCCACATGTGAGTTTGTTAAATGTTCCAGTCTACAGCTTGCTAACATTGCGGTGGCACCTAGACAAGATGCCAGCACAGCCCTTTGGATCGCTCGTAGTGGCTCCAACTTGTCCCAACTACAGGTCCATCGATCATGAAGGGATCAATATTTTTTTTTATCATTAAGAATTAACCACGAATCCTATTAATTATATAGGAGAATGTACGAGATAAGGAAGCCAAAACAATAAGTAATGACACATGAGATAGGCAAATAAAACACACACACACAATGAGTACAGTAGATAAAGAAACACCAAATCAATCCAAATAAGGAAGAGCCCAAACAGTAGAATAGTTGTAAGTTGGCACTAGTGCACGAACAACTCACGAAACAACGGCGCGAAGGAAGTGAATGCATAGTGGATAGATAGAAAATGAAGTGAACAAAAGAAACGAGGAAAAACAAGCATACAAATGCATGAATCATTAAAAAACATGACATGAATCAATAGAAAACTTCGCACATGAATAAATACATGAAGGAAGAGACAAACAAATAAAGGAATAACAAGTAGGGCCAAACATAGATGAACATAAGCAAACAAGTAAGCCAAAAGTAAGTAACGGATAAAGAACAAACACCTAAGCGAATGGACCAACAAATAGACACTAATTCTCAATAATTAACAAATGAATAGGAACACCGATAAACATGAACGTTACCAAAAAAGGAAATGGACAGGCATGAGCGAATACATCAAAAGGTAAAATAAGCAAACAAAGGATTAGATGAACGCATTTCAAAAACAAGGCATAGAACGAATAAAAACAAGCCGACAAGTAAATAGGCAAACGATCACTTAAATGAACAAACGGCCGCACAATCACACGGTTTCATTTTCACGCAGGTGCTGAGCTGCAACCTGAGGGAAAGGCAGCAGTGGCCGATGCTGCAGCCAAAGAGCGGCCGGACAATCAGCCGCTAGAAGTGTCGATGGATCTGGGTTTGCCAGAAAACGGGTTCTTAAATTCAATTTATGTTAACTCAAGTAGGGGACATGCGTTTCTTAACCAGCCTTTTTTCCAACAAACCGGTTTGGATCATTTATAGCATACTTGGTGGTTGGTCAGGAGAATTATCACGAATCAGTTTCAAAATTGTTTTGACATGTCTGAAACCTGCTTGAATATGGTTTAAAATAAATTATGCCGATAGAGAGAAATTGGCGGGGGAAAAGGGAGGATATTTAGGTGGTTTAGATATCAGTGGGTCAACGGAAAGTATGAGATCAACTGGAGTTTTATGATGTCTTTTCGGACCTGGTTCCGAGAGGGCAACAAACCCCGGATAAAAAACACTTAGATTTGCATGTTTTTTGTTTTGATTGAACTTGGTAAGATTGAGGTTTGATGATTTTGATGTCCCCTTTCCATTTTTCCATCGGTTTTCGATTTATCATGGGAAATCATGGGGTATCCCATGAAAGTCCCCCACTTTTTCGACTTTCTGCTGAGGGAAGCCATCGCCCATGTTCTCAGAGCAGCGGGCATAATGGCCACCACCACTATGCTGCCGATGGTACCTGGGTGGAATGCCCAAGGACTAGGACCAGGACAAACATTGGAAACCGAGTGATTCATACACCACCACGCGTTTGGATAACAAGATATGTAGTTATGACAAGTATGTATGACAAAATGTTATCATCATTCATGGAGAATTCTCCCGTATGTCCAGTTATTTGTTTGGATACCAAGATATATATATATGTATAGTAAGTATGCTAAATAAATTTGTCGTTAAATATATACATTCGGACAATCGTGATCATCATGTTGTGTGTGGACAACTTTGTGCATTAGGATGTATGAGATCACCATGTGAGTTATCATGACAGCGATGACTATGAATATGTCCGACGCGTTCATATGACAACTACGATGATTATAACCATCATTATGATCATGATTATCATGATTATCATTATTATCATGATGATGATGATGACGATGACGATGATGATGATGGTGGTGATGATGATGATGTTGTTGTTGATGATGATGATGATATGTTGTTGTTGTTGTTGATAATGATGATGATGATGATAGCTCTGATCACCGTGAATAATCACGATGATCGTGATAGTTCCGAAATCACGGTGATAATGGTGACGATCATGTTATTCTGATGATCATTTGCGCAAAATAATAATTCATACATGGGAGAGAGACTTCATGTTTGTTTATAAATACCTGGATCCCCAGATTTGTCGCAGATCTCGGAACACGCCCTCCTACTTGTGCATGGTTCCGGTAGACTATTATTGGCAAACCCTGCTGAGGCCCCCCATGGGTTTTCCACAACAAATTTCAATTTCGGGTTCCCAACCCCAATGAAGCCCAGTGATATCAGTATTTTCTAACTAACAACATTGATTCATATTTTTCCACACCCTTTATCATAGTCATTGATTCATATATTTCCCCACAAAAAACAACCTTTATCCATGGTATCTACCCTCTGGTTATTTAACATAGCCATGGAAAATCACCTTACCTATTAGAAATGGTGATTTTCCATGGCTATGTTGAATAACCATATGGTATATTGTTTCGTCGATTCTAATATGGCTGCCCCATCGCTACAGGTGGATGTGACGGATCCCGACGCCCGAGTGATCCTGGAGGCCGTGGTGCAGAAGTTGGCGAACGCCTCGGTGGATCCGCAGGAGAAGGCGGGCGTTGCCGAGCCCCGTGGCACCGGGGACTGGGGTGATAGCTGTCAAGAGCTGGTGGATTCTTAGGTTCCTCATGAAAATATGGATTCTTTTGGGGTAGTGTTGGATAGATGTGGAAAATCAATGAACATTGGATATACTTTGGACATATTTTGCTTCTCCAACTTCAGACAACTCCACATATGGTTGCGCCAAGACTCGGGAAAACAAAGTGAGTCGGGGCCAGAGTATGAGGGTTTACAGTACACGGATTTGGATGGAGGCATGGGAGTGCCACAAGAGCAACATGGTCTTGATTATATGATTCATAGCCTTGCAACAACGAGATTGAATTTCGACAACGATCCCATTTTGATCATGGTGATTGTATGCTTTGTATCCAGGGACCTATGATAATATATGCATATATATGTAGTCTTGCTGTATAATTTAATATATATATATATGTAAATATGTATATATGTAAATATGTATTTATGTATATATGTATATATGTATGTATGTATGTATGTATGTATGTATGTATGTATGTATGTATGTATGTATATATGGATATATGCATATATGTATATATGTATATATGTATAGATGTATGTATGTATGTATATATGTATTTATGTATATATATGTATTTATGTATATATGTATATATGTATATATGTATTAATGTATATATGTATATATGTATTTATGAATGTATACATGTAAATATGTATTTATCAATGTATATATGTAAATATGTATATAATGTATATATGTATTTATGTATGTATATATGTATATATGTATATATGTATATATGTATATATGTTTTTATGTATATATGTATATATGTATATATGTATATATGTATCATGTGTATCATATATATCATATATATATATATCACACACACATGTATATGTACGAATGTAGTCTATCCATCCGAGAGTTTTTTTGTTTCACAGCTCTCCTTCACCATCCTATCGCCAGGTGAAGATTGCGAATGCGGCGGCGGAAGCCTATGTGAAGGGTCGTGCCTCCACTACTTCCGTTGCCGCTGGGCACAGAATCCATTCAGGGTACGGGGCATTTTCCGGCCTTGGAGGGATGGTCGAGCGTTGAATCCACATTGAATCCACACATATAACCTTAAAATATGTGGTATATACACACACACATATATATATATATATGCATGTACGTGTGTATCCCCATTTCTGTTTGGTTAAACCCCATTCTTAATACATGGTTTGTGGACTCACGGTGAACGTGCAGCTTGTGAAAAAATGACCTGGCCCCATGAGTACGTATCAAAGTTGTACTTACATATCCCAGAGTCAGTTCCTTCAATGGCTTGAAGGACAAATCTACAGAGAACCCTTGTACGTATTTTATGGGAACGGCTTATGGTTTTCTGTAAATGTTCCTGAAACCTTGGATGTCTCCTTTGACACTTAAATTCTTGGTCACAAATGGGACATATTTGAGAACCAGCCAACAAAAGTCGATTTCTTTCCACCATGTTCCAGCTCTACCCCGGGTTTGTTCCCCCTTTCATTGCCGCGCATCCAGGATGGAGTTGGCATGATCGTGCGCGCCGCTGAAGCGTTGGGTCTAGCGCATGCGCAGGTGAAGAGGAGACCCCTAGCAGAGTCCGTCGGTCATTTCATGTTGTTTTTTTGGTATCCAACTATCCTTTTTTGATATAGTTTTCAGCTACCAACCAGATTTGGGACAATCTAGACCATTGCTACCAGTCTCTTTCACCCAATGTATCCTAATGTGAAATCCAAGCAAATACCCACCAGAAACCCTGGTATGGGTGTACTGGATCTTCTTCAGTTTGGGATCCCTTGTTGGGAGTACTGCAAATACGGGGAAGTGATCACTAAACCATCCACCCGAATCAACGAATCCACAAGTCATGATGGTCGTACCTCCCATGATTGAAAGGGGCCAAGGCACAAAACGGGTCTAGGTGAAGTTGAGCACCTAATGGACTAACTCCTCATCTACAGTATCTACAGGTTGATTTCCTCACATACTTCCCATACCAAAAAATCCCACAACAAAACCATACAAACCCATTGATGGAGAACAAAACCATACAGAAAGGAAAAAACACACAAGCAATCCATTAATGGATAACAACACCATAAAAAAAAAAACCATTTGAACATATCCTTGTGATTCTCCATCCAAAAATCCATACCCTCTGGTAATTTAACATAGCTATTGAAAATGGCCATTTATAGTGGATTTACCCATTGAAAATAGTGATTTTCCATAGTTTTTTGTATGTTTACCAGAGGGCAACTTTTCTGTTAAACCCCATGGTTTTTCATTGAACATCTCGCCAGAGGATGGCCGAGACGGCGGAGCAGCTCACCGTGGCGGAACAGTTGGCGGCGGCCACGGCGCTGCGGGCAGCTTCCGCCGCTTGGCGGAAAGCGCTGCGGGCATCGGCCTGGAGATGTCTGAGACAAGGGGAACAAAAAACAGGGGAAAACACCTGTTTGAAACCAATATATATATACGTGTATATATATATATTTCACAATATATTCAACAACAATTTTTTGATATAGTAACTTTTGGAGGTTCAACTTGTGAGATGTGAGTTTTCTGCTTCCACTTATATAGGTCTTTTGCGGGAAAGTGTGGGGGAAGATATGTGATGGTCGACATATCTTAGTCTTTTCTTAGATATGATATATATATATATATAGTATAGATATGAGCTATGGTCAATACTCATGGTTAATAACCATTAAGAGGGGCTAGTCATCCAATGGTTCATAGGGATTTATAATAACCATTATAAGGATCCTTATTATGGATGGGATGACCATCAACCATATAGTGAGTATTGACCATGGCTCATATTATAAAGGCGGGCACTCTTCAAAAGATGAACCAACTCCAAGACCAGACACGTGTCGCTTCTTCTGAGGAAGGACCTGACGTGCTCGGTCCAGAGGATCCGGCCGACAAGGTTGCAGCAGTCCCATGGCGAAAGTCAACCCCTTGGAGGGGAGGTACTACAGAAGGATGAATGATATCCCCTCCAGTAGGCTAAGGTGGCCAGGTGATATCTCTGTAATCATATGTACCCTCTGGTAAACTAACATAGCTATTGAAAATGACCATTTATATATAGTGGATTTTCCTATTAAAAATGGTGATTTTCCATAGCTATGTTAGTTTACCAGAGGGTATATTCTATGTACAATCCCTATTTGTGGTTTTTCTTTGCGGCAGTCACGCTGCTACTTCAGTGTATTTAAGTTCTGAAGGGTGTAGGTGGGTGCCCTGAGAGCATTTTTCCACAAAGCTGGTTGCTTCATATTCCTTTCAAGATTTGAGGATACTATGGCATTTTGCCCCAGAGATCAGAGTTAACTATCCTAAAATATGAGTAGGTATCTCCAATATTCAATAATTACTAGCCGCCGAAAAGATAGAACCGTACAGTACCACTATTTTAGATTCGAATTTGCTTTTCTATTCTTGTTTGGGGTTACTACATGTATAATGTCATTTTTAACCCAATGTCTGCAATTTTATAGGTAGGTACAGTACTGTACCTCCATGTTACCCCCACTATGCAGTCACCATACTTACTGTAATATCCCTATTTCACGTAAAGGACACATGCTAAAATCCACAGTTGAATATGTATATATATATGTATAGATATGAATGCACATATATATATATATATACACATATATATAAAGCTATATAGAGAGATATACGTATTATATCAATGCATATGCATATAATGTGGGTAGGTAATTCCAAATGTCTGGATTTCAATTAATTGGATAGTAACTCCAGTTCATACCTCCAATCAATCCACACAGAATATCTCCAATGACCGCTGATGTTTTGGTAGTTGAAGAGATAAATTGGAGATTTAACTACCAGTCAATCAATTAATAACTAATCTAAGTAATGCCGATTTAAAGGATTGAAGACATAAATTTAACCGCCAGCTACTCATTTTATCTATCAGTAATGACCAATTATTTACGAACTCATGGCCAATTACACGTTAATCGAATCACAACCGGATGGTTTTACAATCATTACCAAATCTGATTCATTCATGATACTTCCCAATTAAACATTAATATACCAAACTATTGTGTTTGCCCAATTATTACAGTTATTTACTAACCAATCCCCAAATCAACCAGTGTGATAACAATAATAATTAATGCCCAATCTAAGTATAACTATCATCATTATAAACATATAATACTTATTCCAATAGTAATAGCACCTATATAACATATAATAATTGTCATATCGAACAAATAATAGGAATTGATAATTCTTATAATCAGAACAAAATCCAAGCCTATTTCCACTATGGGAGCAGTGGTGTTCTTATAGTTAAATAGGAACACTATCAACCTTAATAGCTCAGTAGTTTACAAGAAACTACTAATCATATAGAGCACCATAATCGTTAACATGAGTAGCTGGGTAGCCAATAGTCCTTATAATCATATTAGTAGCTGATTTCAGTATTTAACTATTATGTTAGATACCTCATAACATGAATAGTGACTACTACCTGACAACTAATAGTAAGCATACAACTAATAACCCCTAACCATATAACCATATAACTAATGATCTGAGGCGGTTAATATATCTAACAACTATTATTATATATCTAACAACTAATGATCCCTTTGTAACATGGTGCTGATGCTAACACCCCTGATCCAAGGTGGTGAAAGCCGAAGCCGCCGCTGGCGTGCCAGAGGCGGAGCAAGCTGAAGCCGCCGCTGCCGCAGTGCCATGGCGGCCATGGTCTGCGTGATTTTTCGGGGGAAAAAGCACCGAACATCCGGGAAAATCATCTACAAATGGTGGATCTTCAGGGGATTTTCGAGGAAAAATCATCTGTGCATGCTGGAATTATGTGGAATTTCATGGAAACATTATCTACAAATGGGATTGCATGAAAGGGAAATATAGGGCACTAGTTTTTTTTTCTCCCCTCCAACGCGGAGCCGCAAGGTGACGGTTGCCGCCAAGAAGGCCAAGAAGGCCAAAGAAGCCGAGGAGGAGGGCGAAATCCTAAATCGCATAGCTCCTCGGTGAAACCCGGGACGGCCATGATGCACGAAGAATTTCAGTTCCGAAATCCCATGGAACTGGGGAAATCGGGGAAATCTGATAAATCCCTTTTATCTTTAGATATCCTTATGGAATACCATGGACAAAAGGAAGGCCAGCTGCGGTGCAATGGCTAGAATGGGGATATGACTCCCATGCACTAAGAACCCATCATATGGGTTTGTCTGAAAATAGGCTATATTCCCAATTATAGCCATTTAATAGGGATAATGATCATTAACCATTGGGTTTAGGGGTACACTATTTTGAGACACACCCATATTCCTCCAAAACTGATACGGAACCCAGAATGGCAACTCAGTTTCCTCCGGTCATCAAACCTGGCGAAATGGGAAAATCACCAATGGAGGTGTCTTATCTGGGAAAAACATCTGTGTATATACATACATATATATATATATGGATAAATAAATACATACATACATACATACCATACCATACCATTACCATTACCATTACCATTACCATTACCATTACCATACCATACATATACATATACATATACATATACATATATATAATTACATATTATAAATGGTGGATTTTCCATTGCTATGTTTGACTACTAGAGGCTACCATCAACAAAGCCTTGGGATGGGATGGTCTCCTGCAGGTTGCCGAAGCCTTGAAGGAGACCGAAACCTGGGACAGCTGGAGCTTGGGCCACTGGTTTTATATGACAATAGAAACAGAAAGGTATGAGTCTATCTTATAGTTACTGTAGATATTTTGTATCCTGTATACGTACATACAATACCATACAATACAATACAACACGACACGCCACAACACAATACAATACAATACAATACAATACAATACACTATATATATATATTATATACATATTATATAACTATTTATATGACTATATATATATATATATGTACAGCTACATATGAACATGCATGGATCACACAAATCAAGACACATGTAGACAAGGTGGGTTGGGCATCCTTGGCTTTCCACAGCACCAGATTGGGCTCGACGAAGACCAAGCAGAAGCCATCCTGGAGACGGTGTCCGCGATGTCATCAGAGGAGCAGGCGCGGAGCCCAGCGGTTAGCAGCGGGCGTGGATTAAGAACCCCCTAGGCTGTTGAATTTGGGGGAGTCCCATTAAGTATCAGATTATGACGATTTGGAGGGTAGCCCCATAATTAATAAATCATGGTTTATGAATCCGGAATTGATATGATTGTATAATGTGGTAAACCCAGTAGCGAACCATCCCCAACGTGGGCATTGCTGTTAGGTATACCCCGTATGACTGGGATGGTTGAAGCCATGGCCACAGAAGCTCGTTACAAAAATTGGTGCCAAAGGATGCCAAAGCTGGAGGATTTGGAGGATACGTTATCTGCAACTGTTGGCTAGCTAGCAGAAACTCTCCAACATCAACATGACATCATTTGTAGTATATTGTACTGACATTTTGTGATGACCGTTTCTGCTGCCACATGGGTTTCTCAATTTGACGACGAATCTGCCGCTTCTCGTGGTCGTCAGGCGGTGATTGAGCGCTACCTGATTTCACTGCTGAGCCCTGAGACCGTCGTCACCACTACGGGCGATTTGAAAACAGAGTGGGGGGCCACAGGGCGATCCCTGGACCTTACATACAAAGGCACAACCATTTCGCCAGAAAATCTCACAGGCAAACGCATTTTTTGTAGATTGATGATGCAGGATGATGTACAGTAGTCAGTCGTGGGTTCATTTAAGGGAGGTCCATGAAGCCATTGTTGTTAGTTTCAGATAGATAGATAGATAGATAGATAGATATACTGTACACATATGATGTGATATGATATGATTTAACATACCATGACATATCGTATACATAGATGGCCATATCATATCTAGTTGAACCTTTGTGATGTTAACCGTGTCGACCAAGCAATTCTGCCATAGGACCATGGATCCAATTGGCGGATTTAAAAAACGCCAAGGCCAGTCGTCACCACCGCAGTGAGCACCAGCACCAGCATGACCCCGGCTGCTCCGGGCTCGGCGACCTTTAGGTCGGGCTCGGGCTGACAGCTGGATGTGATGTGATTTTTGATGCATCAACCATCCAAAATTTGGATTTACCCATGACAAATCATGAAACCATGGGGGTTTAACCTGGCAACTGTGCAAAACAGTGATTTAATCATGAAAAATAAAGATTGAACCAATAAATCATGTGTACTGCATATCTGGAAGTGGTGGGTTTTTTGTGATAGTGCCAATTTAAGGAGGGACAATGACGATAAACCACACGATTTGGCGATGCCCATGGTCCAGCGACCTTTGTCACTGGAGGTTTTCTGTGGTTCCATCCACCAGCTCTCGATCGTCCTATAAGGCACGGGATGCATTCCATTGTGGTGGTAGTAAGCAACAATGCCCAGTAGATGAAGCAGGCTCTCATTCTTGTATCATATTGTAATATATTGTATCCCATTGTAGCGGTGATCAAGCGGCAGCTCTCATTGGGCTGGTTTTGGTATCTTTGAGATCATTAAAACATAGAACTTCGCACTTGCAGACAGAGAGAGGTTCCCAAGGAGACTTGGTTTTCGGAAAGCATCAGTGGATGGGAAAATCAATGGAACATCATGGAACCAGTTTCCAGTGAGTTTTTCCCTTAATCCATTGATGGTTTCAGATTAACTAACTGGATAGATGGAGATTACTTAATCCATCTATCTTTTAGATGTAGATTCAGCATGATTCAGCGACCTCCAGGCCGAGACGGGCCTCTCTGCCAAGGGCTTCGTCTTCGGAGTGGGCCTGGACGTCCAAGGCCGTTGGGTCTTGAGGACCTCGGTCGTCAGATGTCATCGGATGTCGGATGTCATCGGTCAGGACTGGTGGAATTCATCGAAAGCCGAACGGGGAAAGAGGTGGACCCCTTTGAACTCAGCTTGGCATATGGCAGTTTCCTCTTCAGCTGGCCGTCCACCACGGATTGTTCCAACAAAGAGATCCTCGGCGAACAAAGATGCGAAAGAAGATGTGAAAGGGTGAAGGTTTGTGGTTTTGGTGTGCTTTGGTATGTTTTGAAAATTGACGTTTTTGCTTGGAAGAGTTTGGTGTTTGGATCTATATTTTATTTGGTGGAGTGTTGGGCCAAAAGATTGTTTACATGACATTTGACATTTGAATCATTCTGGATGGTGGTGACACTGGCTGGAATACGTGGCTTGCGGATGTCAACATATTTTACCTTTGTGCTGTGCCCGCGTGTCCTGGCAGCAAGGTAAGACTCCTCGTAGTTGTTAGCCCAGTTCAGGTAGTCGTCCCTCTTGAGTTGTTCAAGGAAGCGAGCTCCGAAGTACATTTCCTTTTCAAAATCAATCTGATGGAAGTTTGATGCTCATAGAATCGCAGCCAGCCAGCATTTTTCTTCGCAGTGTTTGGTTCTTTGTACCGCCAAGATAGCCGTGTCGCGTGTCCCAAAATGTCCCAATCCATCTTCATCCAGGAGTGGCTTCACGGATTTTCAATCCATCACTTTCTACAATGCGAGCTTCTCCAATCCGGGACAAGCTTGTGGAGATCTGTTGGCCACTTCCATGGACCTAGATGGAGTGCTGAGATTCCCAGCTGAAGGCGGATGGTGGAAAACCAGCTCATGTTTGGTGAACATTTGATGCATTTCTAACATGATATGAATATGATTATGCTCGTATTACACATCATATCTAGATTTGAAAGTTGATTTTAGGCCCTGTTATTTTGAGACTTTTAAGGGAGTGCCCAGCCAGGCGATACCGATATGTTCCGGGTGGCTGGGATGTGCCTTGGCAGCAAGATGCCAGATCTCCTTACATCACGTGGTCACACACATATCACAGATGCACGCACAACAAAACATCGACAACATAATATCCTCACCTACAAATAAGGTACAAATACATATACAGTATATATATATAATATTATATAATCAATTATATATATATATATTTATTTATCTATATGCACATCTACAACCATAACCCCCCAGGATATCCCAGAATTTTTAGGGCTTCCCCTTATGGAAGCCCTACAAACCGGGACTGAGGTTTGGAAGTCAGTACGAGGACTCAGGAGGTGACATGGTGACTTTGAGCATTTTGGACTTGCTGATCTTTCAGATCAAGGCCTCTGGTGAGAAGGTGCGACACTGCGACAAGGGCGGTATATCGGTATACCCTCTGGTAAATAAACATAGACCCTGAAAATAGCCAATTGTTAATGGAAACTAGTCTTCCAACCCCTATCTGCCAGGGTCTATGTTAATTTACCAGAGGGTATCCATTGAATATCATTGAATAGCCACATTGGCACCGTTTCCAGGCTATTTTACCCAGTGAACAGATGTGAACAGGATGTGATTTGTGGAGATATTTCACCAAGTTACGGAGCTCCATGGGGTACGCTGCAGGTGGAATACCGGGTTTGTGGTGACAGCACCGGTGCATCCTACCTGGGGTGTCCTAGCAGGTGCCTTGGCTCAGGGTGACCGGGCTGCGTCAAGCTCTTTACAGGATCTCTACGGAACACTTGAAAACATCAAACCCATCTCTGAGCAAAATGCACCCTCACTTGATCTCACTAGTTTTCCTGAAATTTTACACATCTGCTTTTTGTCTAAAGATTTTTTTCCATGTCGAGAATGGATTTTCCCACTGATTTTCTGGGCCAGCACCCCCGGCCAGCTGAATCCAAGCCAGGAGCCCTTTGAAGATCAAGTACCCCGAGAACAACTTGGGGCAGGGCGTCAAGATCTGCACAGGTGTCGTGGTTGGAAAATCATGGAATTTTTCCCGCTGCTGCTGATTTACCCTCTGGTTATTTAACATAGCTATGGAAAATGGACCATTTATAGATGGTTTACCTCTTAAAAATGGTGGTTTTCCATAGTTATGTTAGTCTACCAGAGGGTAACTAGGATTCACCCAATAAATCTGTTTTCTTATTCTATTTGGGGACATGTTCGAAGTGACTGACCAGGCTGCTTTCGCGGAGTACGCATCAAATCATGTCTTGGTGACCTAACATGACCTAACCATTTGCAGGACGATGTGCATGTCTATCATCAATTCAAACCTGGTTTTTTCGAGGGGGGTTTAAGACGGCAGGCCAGTCCCACTTCCACGAATACAAGCTGGAGAACTGCTTCTCTGTGGCTCGGAGCGTTAAGTTGGCTCTCAGTGAAACTGATCGTGGCGTGTAGGTTCTGCGACAAATTGTCACCAGTGGATAAAAAAAAAAGATTTCAGGGTTTTGAACTCATTTTGTCAGTGTATTCAGTGTTCAGTGATATTGTTAATATAGTTTATTAATGTTTATTAGTTGATATATGTTGATATTAGTTGGACATTTCCCACTGAATTTCAATGGATCCCAGTCTTCATTTTACAAGTTCGGCTGCTTTCTCACTTTGCAAAGTGTGCGCAGGTGTGATGATGCAGCTGGAAAGATCGGGCAAAAAGATGCGCAGTTTACTTGGAGGTTCCAAATCATCTATCAACATCAATAAATTTCAACAGATGTACCCTCTGGTAATTTAACGTAGCTATTGAAAATGGCCATTAATAGTGGATTTTCCCATTAAAAATGGTGATTTTCAATAGCTACGTTAAATTACCAGAGGGTACTGATTTAATTAATATATAGGTCTACTATTATTCAATAGATTTATTGGGCAATGATTTACTGATTCAATAGATGTTGCCAGTCCAATATCAATGGGATGTTATTCAACCGATTTCAATAGCAACCCCATGGGACGCATAGAGTTTCTAGGGCGAGATAGGATTTTAATGAAAAAAAGGGTGATGGGACTACTTAACATGAACTGCTGATGTTTTTGGGGAGGGCTTGGTTCGCTGATCGCTCAGGGGCTACCTGTTGGGATTGGGTCAAAACATATGAAATTGCGATATTTTGGGGAATAAACATCCAGCTATGCCAGCTATGACTTGGAGTACCTGGGGTGCCAGGGTTTTGACGAAGCCATATGGAAACAACCTTGGCTAAGGATCGCAAAGATTATTTGGATTTTCCATCTTTTTCACTCATATAGAGCAGTTCATTTTTTTAGCTGGTTGTCGCACAATTCTCCCAACCAGCTTGCCCATGGACCAAAACATCCTCAGTGCAGCCCAGGGCGCCCACAGTAAAGCCTAAGAGGCAGCGCCCGCGCCAGGGGTCTGGATGAGCACCTGGAAATTCTTGCGAGCACAATGAGGATAGCCATTTGAATCCATTTGACATGGCAAAATCAACTTCCAAATCCAGTTTTTTTTTTGATTTTTGGGAGTTGGGGTTCCTGATGTTCAACTCTAGGAGGTTCAAGGAGTGTAGGAGGTTGCGAGCACCTACCACGCTCCTGGCACAGCCTTTCCCAGTCCTGGGCAATCTGGAGCAAAGCGAGGCAGAAACGAGCCGGGTTCCTCATCCTCTGGTAGTTGAACATAGCTATGGAAGATTGGCCCGGTTTTTCCTTGCAAAAAATGTTGATTTTCAATAGTTATGTGAAGTTACCAGAGGGTAAGCTACACAGATATGCATATACATACATGATCATACATGTCTATACATTGATGTCATAGTTTTATGAATACACGGAATCGATGTATAGGCCCTATTTCGGTAGGTGTTGCTGGGGGACCCTGCACCAAGCATCAACTCCTGTCATCGCTGAGGGCCAATCCGTTCTACCCTCCTTTGAGGTGCTTGGGACTTGGGGCCGCATTATCCCATCATACGATCACAGGATGGTGGACTGATGACCCTACAAAACCCACGTCTGTCGATGTTTCCAGCAACCCGTCATTAAAAGACAGGCTTCACTCAGTTCAATCCTCACTTTTTGGTGGTGACATGTCATTTTTTTACCAAAGAAAGAACCATGGTTTTCATCAAAATTCCCGGATTCACCTCCATTTCACCATGATTTTCCCACCATTTTACTTGGATTTGACGGAGCCAGTCCACCAAGCTGAGCAAAAAAAAAAGCTGGTTGCTGCGATCCAGAAACTTCGAAAATCTCGGATTTTTCGGTAAATCATCTTCAACCTATCCAGAAATATCCAGAAATGGTGAAGCATTTCGGATTTTTCTGGTAGACTGGTAGACCATGTAGACCCACCATATACCCAGCATTTCATGGAAATCCACGTTTTGACCCCCTCCCTGTGGGGATTCCCAGCAGTGGACCAGGCCCACCCCAGTGGAGTCCAGCCCAATGGTCCCGCGGCCACCGAAGCGTGTGAAGCTTCCAGCAGTGGTCATGCCGCATGGGAAGACGCAGGCGCCGGCCGGTTGAACCATGGTTTTTTTCAGCAAAAATCGGTGGAGAATGATGCGAAAGATGATGACATCTTGGGGTTCTTCATACGTTTTTGATGGATGATTACCCTCTGGTAAACTAACATAACTATGGAAAATCACCATTTTTAATAGGTAAACTATCTATAAATGGGCCATTTTCCATGGCTATGTTAAGTAACCAGAGGGTATATCTATTGAATCCATTAGGAGTCTTTTTGGGGATGAGTGTTCGATTTATGGGTCAGACGGGCGGTTTGTCTAACTACCAAGTGATGGGATGTTCTTGATGCTGCACGCACATGCAATTACGGCAATGATTTGTTTTGCTCATCTTCGTGGTTGGTGACCCTGAGCCAAAGATAGTCTGGTCATTTGTCATTTACAGTACTGAATTGTCCAATTTTCTGGGCACTAATTTTTTTACGCATATCCCATTGGCTTCGATGAAATCATGGTGCTTGCATTACCAGGGTTCACCATGTTGTACTTCAACATACTTCAACTGTTTACTCTTCTCCAGCTTCATACGATTGGTATCTAGTTGACTTGTGGGCCTGAGCCAAAACAACATCGCCAAACTATGGTGGGTGAACATCCCAATCCAACTCCGTCTATTTTTAGGGATGTTCACCCGGGCAAAGCAGTTTGGTCTCATACCAGCTTTGTGAGAGTCCACAGGCCGCGTCTTCAAACTTTGCCTCCGCATTTGCAGCCGAGCGCACATGGTGTCCAGCGGGGTATTGTTAAACATCGAAGCGCAAACAATAGATGAACTTGGACATGAACACACCTCTTCCAGCAAAATCCGAGCCCAACAGATCCACCTTCAGCACATAAGTTTCATTTGAACCCAAATGACAGCACTGCTCCACATTTCACCCTGGTCAGAAGCAAACGTGGCATCCGGTGGCGCGCCATGCCGTCCGCCGATAGCCGCGAAAGCCGCGAGGGCCGCGAGGGGCGCGAGGGCCGCGAGGGGCGTAGGCACAAGGATGCGCCCGAAGGGGAGGCATCGAGCAGCGGCGCACTCTCAGCAGATGCCGAACGCCGGTTGCAACGGAGGGAAAGCAATGGCTAGGGGCAGGGAGGCAACAGAAACCATAGGGTTTGGTTGATTTCGGCACCCTTTCAGTTTAGTGTTGACCACTGTTGACCATTCATTCTTGAGCAGAATTTTGAGTATTTTAAGCCACTTCGTTTCAAAGCTTTGACATCGTTCGTTCTTCTTTGTGCAAATCAAGGAGGTCCAGTAGCCACGGCGGGAACGCATGTGTGATCAGTTGCGCACGCGGTTGCATTCTTAACGGGGTTTTAACATGAATTTAATGTACAAAAACAAACAGGGACAGACGGAGGGTCCACGATTTCTTGGGATATTTTGGGGGTTCCGGTCCGGGCCTGAATCCCGGTCACCATGGTTCCGCTCCCTGTACCACCACTGACATCCCTCATCCACCAGGAAATGAGCAACTATGCCTTCTTCGTCAAGTACACGTACTCCAACGAGTGTGCGTTGCTTGCGTACAATTTCCACGAGTTGGTGTCCAAATTGCAAATCTTCGACATCTTCGCGTACAGGCATGACCATCGCCTTATCTCGGTGACGCTGGCCTACATCCTTTACAGATACCAGGCTCACAATGGGGTGTGTCCAGTTGACAACTCATGGTGTTTGTGTTGCGAGGAAGATAGAATTTCAATCGACCATCGGAAGGGACTTATATAAATAGGTATTTTGGCCACTGGGCGGCTGCCTCCATGTTCGACCTCCATCTTGGCAGGTTCGAGCACTTGGAATTCACACGAATTCACCATATGTGGAAGGATCATGAACGATTACAAAGAGGGGTTGCTTCCTTATACTAGGCACTTGAGGGTGGTCATAACACCCTGGCTAGCCCTTTAGGGGTTCTGGAAACCACTGTAGTCCCCAGAAGGCTTCGATCGCCAGCTCCGTTGCTGCGGCACCTGCCATTCGCGAGGTCCATCATTGCGACATGGCCCTAGACTTGGCTCTAACTTTGGTCTATTTGGAAGACTTGAGGAGTCAGGCGCGCACAAAAAAGGGTGGCACCCATTGGGCCATGACTGAGCATTACTTTCCCAGGGGGAGAAGACAAACACAAAATATCCACGTAAATCCACGTAACTAGCAATGATTATGATTAGCAGCAGAGTGCACAAATAGTTTTAAATGGAAGGATTGGGGACATTACTTAAAAATAATGGCGACATTGATAGACATTGACTTGAACAAAGATTGGAACATCACTTGGCCCAATAAATGCTGGTTGCGGAACATGCGGCATGTTTTCTCTGGCCGGACAAAAAATCCTGGATCATGAGCTTCCGTCTCGAGGTGGAGGCAAAACCCGAATTGCGGGAGAGATGTCGCGATGCTTTCAATCTGATATGCTATATGGCCTTCCTGGCGCATGCCTTCAACTCGGATCGGCCGATTCGGCTTGCAGATTGGTTTAAAGAGATTGGCTCCTTGGTTGCCTCTAAGACTCTAAGAGGGGTTAGCCGCCGGCAGCCGTTTTTGAGCTGGGAAAATGATGAGAAAGCATTGGATTTAGATGGATTTAGGAGGTACAGGGCACCCTTTTTCAGACAAACATGACATTTCCGGCAAGGTTGGCGCTCCTTCAAAAACTGCCAGCAGCTGAATGCCTACGTTTTCTTCCTTTTCTCCCAAGTACGTGGCTTCAAATTGCGCGTCAGTGAGAGTCAAGTCAAGAGGTATATCCAGAAACTGTGCAGTGTTCCGAATCAAGCTCACAAGTGAGCACCCCCACTTTTTGTCATCGCGGTAGCTTAGACTATAAGGCGATGTCATGAAGTCGCATGACCAAACTGTCGCAGTCTGTATCAGAAAAGGCCCACTCAGTGCTGCCGTTGACGTGTCGCATGATTCTCTAGAGATCTCTAGAGGGGATGGTGTAATTTATCAAGTACGTGAGCCTAAAGGAATGATTAACAAGTGGGTGCAAGCACCCGTCCATGCTAGTCCCATCACAAGACCACCGTGATGGGATTCCAGAATAAAATAGCTTTCCATCACACCATTTCTTAGCCTCTGTGCTTCTCATTGGGGTGATGAGATGAATGACTTCTGAAATCTTCTGCTTTTTTAAGAGACTTATTCCCGAACAA